TTTTTTACCAACAAGCCTGTATAGTCTTGCAGTCCTATTCTCTTGTGTGCGGGGTGTTGTTTAAAGGCAAGTATTTTTATTTTCTCCCCATTTTTTCCTGGCGGGTGTTTCGGAGCTTTTCCCACACCACCCCCTTTACCCATTTTTCTCCCCCGCTCTTTTCCCCCTTAAGAAGTAAATTTATTCCCCCCTGGATCTCGTGTCTCCCCCCCCAAACCCATTTGGGGGGGAATCGTTAGTAAAAAAAAAAAAAAAAAAAAAAAAAATGGAAAAAAAAAGTAAAATAGTGACTCAGTTACGGCGCCCGAGACTCAGCGTCGCGGTGAAGGCGTCCTAGGACGAGATTAGTATAGCGGAGGGGGGGTATTACCGGGCTGAGGGGTGTTACCGAGGACGATGGGCGATTCTCGTCGATGGCCGCCTCGTGCGAGGTTCGCGCGGCGGAATCTCTCGCGGTTGGCGGCGAGAGCCTCGTCCGTCTACTCCTAGAGCTAGGTGACGTAATATTAAAGCTCGGATAGGACCCAGTACCGAAGGTTAGTAGTGATGGGGGTACGGTTCGTGGGGTAGTTACCCGTCTCCTCCACGAAGCGACGCGCATTCTCCACGGCGAAGATACCGTAGTCGAACCCGTTACGCTGGATGTCGGACTCGTACGGGCCGCGGGTCGGCGGGCTGGCGTTAGGGCCCCGTAGGTCTAGGCGTACGAGTCGATTACGGTAGATAAACAGGAGCTCGGCGAAGGCGGTGTATACCCCTTCGGTATTGGCGGCCCGGGTCTGGGCGTTGAAATGCGAGTCCCAGTACTGCATGACATGGGTAGCGGGGTCGTAGGTCATCACTCCCTAGAGTATAGGGTGCTACTCGCTCGGGGACGACGTCGACCGGCCGCCACATCGTTACGGGACTGGGCGAGACCTGATAGCTGGGGACCTGGACGTGTAGGACGCGGCGTAGGGGCATCTCGATACGCTCCCTCGGGGAGCCTAGCGCCGGGACGGAGATTAGGACCGTCATTCCCCTCGACTGACGGTATGGGAACGTCGCTAGATGGGTAGACCGGAGTAGGCGTCGCTGGGGTAGGACGGGGAGAGTCACCTTAGCGAGTCTGGATTATCTGGACTTAGGGGGTGCCGAGACGTTGCGTAGACGGGGTCTGGGGTGGCGGTCCTATCGGTAGATCTAATAGTCGGCCGTTATTGACGAGAGCTTATACGGTCGAGAGAGGAGCCTGGGATCGAGTCGTGTACAGACCGCCGGAGAGTTAGACGAGATTGTTTAGTTAAATGGCGTCGTTGATCCGGGGCTGCCAGGCAGGATCGGCTCGACCGTACTAGTAGTTAGCGATAAGAGTGATGTCTCCAGACTTAATCACTGGCGTCGTTCTCGCGTAGCCTATGGTAAATCCTCCGACGCGCGCGAGGCGATGAAGACGGATCGTGTTAGTACGCTGCATCAGGGTCACGGGATCGATATTACCGTACCGTAAGGCATCACGGACCGCGTCCTGGATACCGGTTAAGTTATTCGTTAATGCGGGGAGAAGTATGTCGATAAAGTCAACATTAGTAAACTCCAGGAGGCGCTGTCGACCCTCTCGGAAACGGTCTCGTACTCGACGACGGGTGGCGGCCACGGTACGGAGAGTCTAGAATTCGTCGTCGAACTGCTCTCGTCGACCGCGTATCACCTTAGTGATGTCCTAGTCGTTCTCGACATATGTCCAGACCTCGTCGACGACATCTCCCATCTGATTGATGATGCCGCTAATGGCATTTTAGAAGTAGTGGAGGAGAGTTAGACGTTTGACGGCCGGACGGCTACGAAGGTAGTTGATAAAGTCCCGCGTAGATGTGAAGGTCAGGTTATTAATTCGTAGAGGATTTCCCCCCGTCAGGACGAGAGACGTATTCGTAGCTGTCGTGGTCGTACTGCCACGACCCGGAGGCGCGCTCTAGCGCGAGGCCATGTCGACGACCGAGGACGAGAGCCTCGAAGGCTCGTTAAAGTGGCTGGGTGACTGTCAGTAATAGGGTGAGGAGGAAAGAGAGGGACTAGGAGAGTTAAGTATTAACTCCTACCTCGATCGTTAATGAGCGAATTAAACTGGACGGAGAATGAAGTTAAGTCGAGGGTGAGAAGTTTAGGTTAAGTCGAGGGTGAGAAGTTTTAGTTAAGTCGAAGGTGCGAAGTTTAGGTTAAGTTAAAGGTGAATAGGTTAGATAAAGAGATTCACTACTGAAACCGTAGAAGAAGATGAAAAGCGTTACGAATAAGTATATAGTGAGTAAAAGAGGCGATGAGGAAGGAAAGTGCTGGAGAGAAGAGAGGCGTTAACGTTATTATCGATAACGATACTACCCTTTTCCTGAAGGAAGAGGTAGTTATCGACTAAGGATGACTTGAGACTGGATTTTCATGTCACTTAGAGAGGGGCGGTAGGTGTCGCTTCGAAGTAAATGTCGCTTCGAAGTGAATATCGCTTCGAAGTGAATATTAATATTTTTTGGAAATGGACGTAAGTATCCTAAGCTACGGTACGAGAGTTAGAATCTTCTCTCCTACCCGCTCCTCTCTACACTCGCACGACCGTCAAGCGCCGACTGAATTCCTCATGGTTAAATGTCTAGGTATCCCGAACCGCGGTACGAGAGTTAGAATCTCCTCTTCTTCCTACTTTTTTCTCCTTTCTACACTTATATATATATCAAGCGCTAGCTAACTTTCTCATGGCTAGATGTCTAGGTATCCCGAACTACGGTACGGGAGCTGGATTCTCCTCTTCTCCCTAAGATTTCCTCCCCTCTACACTCGTACGACCGTCAAGCGCCGACTAGATTCCTCATGGTTAGATATCTAGGTGTCCTAAATAATGGTATAAGAGCTGGATCTTCTCTCCTTTACACTCCTTTCTACCCTTATATAATAGTTAAGCGCCGACTAAATCTCTCGTAGTTAGATGTCTAGGTATCCTAAATAATGGTATAAGAGCTGGATCTTCTCTCCTTTACACTCCTTTCTACCCTCGTATAATAGTTAAGCGCCGACTGAATCTCTCGTAGTTAGATGTCTAGGTGTCCTAAACTACGGTATAAGAGCTGGATCTTCTCTCCTTCACACTCCTTTCTACCCTCGCATATTCAGGCGCCGACTGAATCTCTCGTAGTCGGACATCTAAGTGTCCCGAACAACGGTACGGGACTTAAGATTTTCTTAAGGTGGCGCCTACGTCTCTCCTTCTATTCCTTCCCCTCTTAATACTATAGTATATATACCCACTATAATATCTATCAGGGACAGGGATATAGAGAACGCCGGGGGGGTCTTCAGGCATAGAGGAGAGGCTACTCTACAGATAAGGGTATGATAGTATCTTCCTTCTAGCTCGTTAAGCGGAGGCTGGATAGATAGGAAACCATCCACGTCCATTTAGGCTATTTACACTAGTCTATTTCGGGTATAGTCGGGTTAACGAGCTAGGCGCACCGGTCGACCCAGATAGGGTTATGACTACGGAAGATAAGGCTAATGAACGCGGCGGGGTCCTTACGGAGGGCGAGTAGCTCGCGTCGCTAGGCGAGGTACGTAGCCGTATCCTATAACTCGAGTTCGGTATTACGCGGTATATCCTGGCTCCCCCGGATGACCTTAACCTAACCTAACTCGCGGAGGAGGCGGTTACTAATACCCTTATATTCAATCTTCTTAGTCATTTCGGGCACGGATAGAACGACCTAGCGCTCTTCCTACTAGGGAAAGTACTTAGGCCGGAGGAACTAGAGCATACGGGTCGCGAGGTTCGCGGCGAAGAGGGCGGGATCCTTACGGGGTCCGATACTAAACTCGTAACTATTTAGTACTACCGTAGGCGTTACGGAACAGGAGGCGAGGGTGAGGACGAGCATGAGGAGGAGGTCGTAGAGTAGGTCGCCGAGGTAGCTATGGAGGCAGTTCTACGCGACCTAGTAGTACTCGAGGATCCGGCGGTCGCCCTTCTAGAACTAGCGCTCGAGCGCGTTAAAGCCCTACTAGAGGAGGCCGGAGATCTAGGTGAAGGGGATGTCACAGCTAAAATCCACCTTACTAGTCGTCCGTAGACGCTTACTCGTATACTGCACCTCCATCGCCGCCCGCTTAAGGCTCTAGATAGGGGCCGAGAGGACGGCCGCGGGTAGGGTATATCCGACGAGACGGACGATACGACGGAAGCTTAGACGGGACTAGTAGACCCCGGGGATACATTCGATCGCGTTCGACTGTATACTCGCCGAGATAGCCGCGATCCAGTACTCAGACTTTATACTGGAGTCCCCCGTAAAGTACTAGAGAATGTAGCGGAGGATGGCGAACTAGGTCTAGCCCGCGGCGACGAACCGGGACTTACTCATAGGGTTAAGGCTAATACCGTACTTATAGAGCTCCCTCGCGTAGTCCTAACGTACCTAGGTAGAGGTGGCGGCCGATGTCGCGGAGTAGGGCGCGATGAGAGTCGACATAATAAGCTTAAACTCCCGCTACGTAAAGGGTTAGGGACTCTACGCCTAGCTCTCGAGGAGGCTCTACTAGTACTCGATAAGGTCGGCCTCCCGCTCGACGGCTAGGTCCTAGAGGAGGTCACGGCGGCGCTACTCCTCCCGTAGATAGCGGACGAGGTGAGACTTAATAAAGGCCTTCTACTAGGGGATCCAGAGGTCCTAGAAGAAGTCATTAAAGAATTTCGTAACCCGACTAGGCCCGGTAATATCTCGACCGCCGAGGTCCTAGAACTACGCGTAGGTATAGCGGCTAATCGCGATCGCGGGCCCGTAGTAAAAGGATAGGGCGGTAATATACATAAGGATAGGTCGGTCCTTAGCGCTCCGAGGCTACTAGGGAAGGTTAAGGTACCTACCGACCGTCTGGAGGTCCAGGAGCTAGGGATCGAGGTAGGGCTAGGTACCGTACTCGATACTATCGATCGTCTAGAGGGGTTTCATAACCGAGGCGATAAGGGAGCGGGGGAAGCCCGTAAAGCAGTAGCTTTCGAGGCGGTCGATCGCCGCGACGCCCTCGGCGAGCGTAATGTCCACACCGTCGGCTTTCCGACCGTCGATCCGACGGTGAAGCTCCCCGAGCGCGGTATCGAAGATATAGGCGTAGGTCGCTAGGACGCCAGGAAAGACGGCCGGACGGAAGGAGTAGAGGAGGTGCGTATACTCGTCCGGCTCGTAGAAGAAGAACTATATAAGCTGGAGGATAGGCTGAAGGACGGTCTAGAACCGCCGCTAGTAGGAGGTTAGGCGGTCGACCTGGATATAGATAACCTATTCGAAGCGGAAACTAAACTCGGCCGCGTCGATCGCGGCGTTAATCCGGCGACCCTCGCGCGCGAAGGGACGAGAGGCACTCAGATCGTCGGGGGTCGTCTAGCCTAGGAGTTACCGGCGGAGGCGCTGGCGAAGGGTCTAGGCCCGCCTCGATATGGCGGCCTCGGCCTCTAGGAGGGTTAGGGCGGCGGTCGTAATCCCCTTAATAGCGAGAAGGTCGTCTAGGGCGTAACGGATACTCCGTTTAATGTTCGAGTAGGCCTAGAAGTAGCCGGCCGTCAGGACGTCGACCCCCCGATTCTAGTAACTTAGGTTATCCTTCATTACCGTAAGGACGTTATTAACGAGAAACGCCGGTAGCCGGGTCGAGGAGAAGTTCCCGTAGGCGGGGTAGAAGGCGAGGGGGTAGAAGGAGTAGTCGCGCGCCCCGTAATACTCGCGGGCGACACTATTCCGGTTCGCGAGGAGATAACGAGGGGATACCCTCTCGGACTGCCCTATCTACTCGGGCGCGTAGGACCCATCGAGGTAATGGACGTCGACCGCGAGGGCGTAGGAAATAGAGCTGATATAGGTAAGGATATACTTGATCTCTAACTCGTACTGAAGTTCTTCGAGCCCAGTCGGGTAAATAGACTAGGGTGAGCCCGGAGGCCCCTCGCTACCCTCATCGTCAGGACTCGGCCGAGTAGGAGGACTAGGCGTAGTAGGCGACGCGCCTAGTCGTGCGCGAGTAGCTATAGGACCACGTCGATCGTCACCAGGAGGTGTAGGCTAACTATTATTATCGCCACCTTCACTCTCCTCGTCCCCTATATCCTCGTCGTCCTCCTCTATTTCACTCTCGCCCGAGCTCTCGTCCTCGGTCGGGCGGATAGTCGTCTCCTTAGGGAGGGACCGTAGTGACTCCTCCGCCTAGATGTTAATATTAGCCCCGTAGTCATACGCGTAGAAAGCCGGCTAGTTATCGTACCAGAACGAATCCTCGGTATAGTCCTAGATATAGTCGGACCAGTACTCTATAAAGAGCCGCTAGAAGGCGGTCCACTTATTAAAGGTGATCGTCTAGGTCTCGGGCCCATCGAGGCGCTACGACGCCTCGACCCCTTCCCCGAGGAGATTATTAAGGAGGAAGAGCTCTTTAATGTACTCAGCGAGGAAATAGGCGTGCTGGTAGCGGAGGGCGCTCGACTATGAGGCCTCCTCCCGTTGTCGACGTTACGCGCGGTAGGACTAGTAGAGTTCGCTTACGATACTACCGGTCGGGTATATGACTACGAACCAGGATTCGCGAGTAGCCGCCGTAGCGAGACGGAAGGTCCGATGTTGGAGGTCAAAAGAGACACCGTAGATGTACTTATGACTGTACGAGGCGCGCCAGTTCCGAAAACTTAGGGTGATATTGTCGAAGAAGTAGCCGTTAAGGTAGGTTAGAGGCTTCATCGGCTACCCGATAATGATGATTATATTAAGGGAGAAGAGAGGGTAGTAGTTATCGGCCGCGAGCGTAGTCCGGCTACCCGCCCTACGGCTACTATAGTCGATAGTATACCGCTATTAGAGCATCTCGATCGCGCGGGTGCCGTTAAAGTCGGGGTCTTAAGAGAGGGAGAGGAAGTCTTTCACTATCGGACTACCACTCTAGTTAGGGACTCCCCGCGAGGTAGGGGAGGGAGGAGGCTAGGACGAACCGCGGAGTTAATAATGCCCCCGAGAGTAGTTAATCTTCCAGCTATAGGCGTCGACCGCAATATCGACGGCATCGTCATTACTAAAGCCGTCGGCTTCGCTATCTAATAGACTTAGCGAGGTAGCACGAGGAACCCCGTCCGCGGGATCGTCGAACTCGTCCTCACTCGCGTCAGGGCTGGCCTCGCCCGCGGGGCCGTCGTCCTCCGCATTAAAGTCAAAGAAGGAGAGGTTATCCGGAAACGGGTCGATCGACTCAGGCGCTGAGGGGGCTAGGTTCGGGGCGGCCATAGCTCTATTAGGGCTGACGGGGGAACCTACCGTACGGTCATACCTAGGGGAGGGGATAGGATCTATATACTATGGAAGAGGTGGACGATATCGTCGACTAAGGGGAGTCCCTAATTTAGTGGAGGAATGTATATATATAATCCCGAATCTAAGGGGTAGTCACCTCGAACATACCTTAAACCGAGCTAGGGAGATAAGATCTCGCACCCCTTATATAGGAGGGAAGGAGGGAGGGAGGGAGGGAGGGAGCGTAGAAGGTACTACCCTACCGAGAGGGGCCTAGTTCCCGTCGTATAAAGTGGATGTTTACGGGGCTAAAATACTAAGACTACTTTAATTAGTAGAAGGGTAATAGGTTTAATTTCCTCTCGCGAGTAGCGTACGATTAGGGTGAATAGGGAGTGTATCATATACGAGGCTTTAGGCTAACCTCTCCTATTACCTAAACACCTCGAGATTACCGTCGTCGGTTATACAGATTAAGTAGTGGCCGTCAAGGGTGAACGTGACGGAGGGAGATGGGCTTGGACACGCTAGATGTCACTTAGAATGCCGTATAGCGCTCGGACGATACCACTAGCTTTACTCCTAGGTGCCGAGCTTGAATGGACGAGACCGCTACTAGGGGGTAGTCGGGGGACGTTTAGAGGGTCGGGTCGGGCGCCGCTCCTAGCCTAAAGGGGGGGGGAG